AGTTCGATGATAAATGACATGTTGTAGTACTTGTGCTCATGTGCCCTTTATGTCAGTAGTTGATTAACGATCCTGTCGTATCACTAAAAACTTTTGTCGAAGAATTTTTGCGTGATTCAGCAGCATGAGGCCTAATTTATAAATCGAAAAACCGACAAATATGGCTTAAAAAACTTTCATGTCTCTGCAGTGACCGATCCCATATTAAATAGGATAAATACTTTCTTTAAATTGACAGAAAAAGTGAACCTCCCAAAAACTTGGACTAAATGTCTCGTGTAACAAATCCGATACAAATCTATCTCCACCAATAAGTCGCACAAGTTTACGCCGCGCGGCATATCAGTTTTCCCGAGTTTAGCCAATAAAGGGTAACCCCTGATCCGTTAAGTAAAGAGAAAAAAGAAAGGCTGGGCCCGCGAGGCGACGTGCCGAGTAAATCACGGGTAAGCCTGCCGCCCGCCGGCTACGGTAAGCCCCGTAACCCCTTTAAGTTCACCAACGATCCCTGGATCTACTCAATAAACGGGAATCTGCTGACTTTTTCCGAAGCGCATTACATATTTTCGATCTATCGGGTTATGTGGAAAGCTACAGAATCACTATCAAGGTGGTTACGACTGTAGTTAGGACATTGTAGTAACACTTGTTGTCTCTAATGGGCTTACGAAATTCGCACTCCTTTGATGACCTCGCTCGGTGGCCCAATGATTTGCTCTGTGGGCGCTCGATGAGGAGGTCTCGGGTTCGATTTCCGGTAGAACCAACTTGAGAAAATACCTTTTCTAAATTGGTTCTTGGGTGAGTGTTCTGGGTAGTGCATCGGAGTGATTCGTTGCTTCGGTACTCATAGGCTGATAGTACCTATACAGGGTGTAATCGTTAATCGTGCCCTGGCAATTATTCCATAAATATAAGAGACATTATTTATAAATATAATAATAATATATTATTACTTTCGACATCGAGAGTACATTACCTAATGAGTAAATCGACATCAATAACTTTTTAAATAAATTTAGAAATATCCAAATTTTAACATTAAACGCTCCCACACATTTAACATGACATTCGTATAGTTTTAACTAGTTCTTAGTAACTTTAGTTCTAACTAGGGATAGTTTGAAACAATTCGATTGGTATAACTATCTGGCACATAATTATAATTATTTATTACTCCTGGTTAAATATAATAATAACAACGCACACACCCAACATAGCCCCGCACTAGGGAATAGCCTGTGTCGCGGGTGCCATGGACACACACCTAGACAACTACAAATTACACCCAAACTCACGAGAGAAATAAATGTAGGCCATACAAATATTTCTCCCGGCCAGGGAATCGAACCTGAGACCTCTGCGTGACAGTCCGGCATGGTAGCCGTTCGGCCACGAAGGCAGTTATAATATATACCCAAGCCAGTGTAGGTACAAACAATTGGCGTAAAAAATATGGTACGTTTCTTTGGTCTCAAGTTAGAATTAATGGTTATCACAAAAGATCGATTGCTGGTGGCAGAAATGAATTACTGCACAAGCTCTGCTCTGTATAAGCCACCCATACGATGATATGATGAAATTATGATGCTGATGACGATATCTGTGAAATTACAGGCACATGGGATTTGTCAACTTATTCTGAGTGACGGGCACAGTATTAGTGCCCCTCAAATCTTTGCAATTTAAAGCTCTGCGTGGCATTGTAACTGTTATGGACAGGCGTGTAGCTTACCATCAGGCGCAAGCCTAGTTCGTCCCGTCACTTGAAGTTATTAAGACAAAAAAATTATAACAGTTGTTGTTATACTGGTCTTCTCCTTATCGTATCGATGGAATGCACTTATAATGCCTACCATCGTGGTAAAAGGATTTGCTAATTGGACGTAGTTAAACAAAAACGATCCAATCACCTTCTAGATATGGCAGTTTGCAGTTGAAAAATGTTTCTCTCTCTTGTCGTATGTTCAAAACTTATAATGTCACGTAACTCCAGAGAGATTTATTTATGTTCATATGTTTGACTTTATTAGACTAAGAGGTTAGAATTTAGGAACCGGTTGGTGCATACCGTATAACTCATTTTGATAATTTTGTTGATTGGATCCTTTTTGCTTAACTACGTCCAATTGTTGTATGGTACTTCTCGACTCTTGTCCAAGGTGATGTTCTCTATATAAGTAACTTTTCAGGAATTGCAAGTGAATGATCTTTACTTCCAGTTGCACGAAGACTTAGTAGAGGTAGAGCTCTTGTGAAAAAGTTCGTCCAGGGAAGTAATGCTTGCTTACCTAATTCTGCCGCCAAGCAGTAATTTGAGCTTTACTGCGTTTCGGGTTTGAAGGGTAAGGCTGCCGGTGAAATTATAAGCACATGAAACTTTTCAACTTATGTCTAAGGGTGACGGGTGCAGTGGCAGTGCCTCAGTGGCGATTTAAAGCTCCGAGTGACACAGCAACTGTTATGAACAGGCGCAACTGTTACCACCAGGTATCATATATAAAAAAACGACTTTTAGTAGCATTAGAGCTCCTTGTGAAAGAGTTCGTCCAGGGTAGTACTGCCATCTTACCTATTTCTGTCGCCAAGCAATAATGTAAAGTAAGTAAGTAAAGTATTTATTGCTTCCATGTGTTACATAGGTCTTAAAATTTATATATAGTGTCAACATGACCCTGTTAGGGCGCCGCAATTAAAAGTATAATAAGAAAATAAAAATAAAACATAAATGAAACATAATAAGAAGTTAACAATTTTTTAAGACAACTTATATAACTAACAAAATGTAAAAACTAGTAATTAAAACATTAATTGAAAAGGTATTATATTAATTAATTATACTTCAAAAAACTCTTTTAAACTATAATAACATTTTTTTATCAAATGTGCTCTAAGCTGTTTATTAAATAAATAATGAGATGAGAAATCAATATGAGCATTGCTGCCTTTAGGTTTTGAAGGGCAAGGGTGCTGGTGAAATTACAGGCACATTGGACTTGTTAACTTATGCCTCAAGGTGACGGGCGCAGTGGCGGTGCCCTTCAGATCTTTGCGATTTAAAGCTCTGAGCGACATTGCAACTGTTGACTGCCAACAGACTCTTACCACTAGGCGCAGCAGACTTGTTCCTCCCGTTATTGGTGTTATATATAACAAAAAGACTTTTCAGATGGTAAAGCACAAAGAATGCATATCGAGTTCTTAGATTTTCGCGATTGTTACACATGGGAAATGAAACTATTTTTCCGGATTTAAATCGCGTATATAGTTGCGTGTACAGTCTTCAATTTAGACATAACTGGTGGAAGACTGTACCACCTCACTCAACCGTGACCATGGTACCTGTAAAGGGCCCGAAACGTCGGTTTGTTTAAAAAACAAATATACGCCATTTAAATCCGGAAGAATAGTTTCATTTCCATTGACTTACAATTATATGGACGTCGGGTCCGCGCTAAAAAGTGTCCGCACTTGTAAGGCGCTAAAATCGTATACAGAGCGCCAAACTCCGCTTTAGTCTTCATTTGTTCGACTGACAGCGCGATACTGCGATGACATTACAATTTAAATTTCGAATAGGTTGACTTGGGACATTTTTTTCGTGGTTTTTGTATTAGACCCGTCGTCCATTTATTTGTAAGTCAATGTTCATTTCCTAAACAAAATACAACCAAACAATTGCTTTACGATATTTGAGAATATTATCAAAAACATAAAAACGATGTCGTATGTAACTACAAATTTTGCAGTAATCTACTAAATTAGATTTGTAACTTAACATTAGAACATTATACATGTAATCGAGCTTAGAAACCCCGCTGTAAAATTTCGTCTGCTTCGTGTTCCAATTTCCTTGGGTATGCGATATTGTACCAACAATAGCAAAATTACGCGCACAGCGGCTGTGACTGACCCGACCAAACTACTTCGGAACACCCTTTACACAAATTGATTTTAAATGGCGATTTATTTCCGCCTCATATCGCCGATCCGATCTTCGTATGAGTTTTACGGCGCGAGCGGCTTTACCCTGGGTTAAGGAAGTCGAAGTTATAAAACGGTTTATTTCTTTTCAGGGCGATGCGTAAGCGCCCCTAATTATATCGGATTAAAGCCCACCAAATGTACCTCTCATTGTGCAATAGCCATCACTGAATGAGTACTTATATATACATGTACAATTAGTACATTGAATTCTTTGTTCATAGAAAATAACTCTAGCAAATTGTTTTGTGTCAAATTCATAATAACTGTATAACTGTAACTCAACATTTTTGTGCAATGCTGTTCATAATGGGTGTTTGAAATAAAAGTCGTACTCAGACAGAATTTCACCCTTTTGCAAATTTGTGCAAATTACTTTATGAGCGAGCTTTCAATGGAGTTTGACGTTTTTTGTCGACGTCGTATACAACTGCAGTGAGTTTTTTAAAGCAAGTTTGCCCGCGCTCGTATCGGCTTTTGATTTTATGGCCCCGTAGTGGAAAGCGGCCCTAAACCGTCAGCTAATAGAAATAAATAGTAACCCTTCGGTGGCGGCGCGTTTGCTGGCGAAAGGTTTACTTTTATTGCCAGTGACTCTCTTTTACTGACTACCCCTTCATAATTGCGAGGGTTGAGCGAGAATAATAGGAAATAGATATTAGCAAGTTTTTTGCGCGAAACTCTTTTATGTGTATTAGCAAATTGCGAAATTTTTGCAAATAAAGATGTAACTGTAAAATAACACTTAACAATTGCGTAGACAATAAAAGAAAAAAATACTTAATGTAAATTTTACGATGTGAAGTTCGCAATTGATTTGTTGTAGGCGAACAGACGAGTCGCTGACTTATGAGAGAAGTAGGTACAGAAGTGTGCGGCTGATAAAAGGCGATTGTGCTAATAAATTCATCGCGCAGCGGGGCTCGAACCCGCTGGAACGGCGATCCAAGGCAAATGATAATAGCCACTGATACTTTTTTGCATTAATGGTTGCTTCCAGATTGAGACATTTTCGACCGCAAAGGCCGAGTAGCGGGGGGCGCGGCCGACTGACGCACTTTTTTCTAACTTTTTTCATTTTCTCAGTAAGTTGTCAATTGTCACAAAATATCGTGACATGAGTAATGTCACGGTAGTTGGAATACATGCGAATTGTCGGTGAGAAAGTGGAATAACAAAGGCTCAGTTGGATTTTGTGGTTGTCATTTGACAAAGGTAAAGACGACAAGTGTGTTTACCTGCTTGACTGGTTTCGATCTGAAAATTATTATTGTAGTTAATTATTATATTAGATTGAATAAAAAAAAAATTGGATTAAATTGGAATTGAAGGAAGGAAGCATTGACAAAATATTCACTATTCACTCTATTTTTGGCACGGGAACTTTATCCGAAAGTGCAATTCTTTATCCTGAATTGACTTCACTTAGATATGATGACCCATGGAAAACGAGCCTATAAAATATATTGATCTAATGACTTGGCCTGTACGATTTTAAACTTTTACCTTTGCAGAAAGAATTAAAAAACAACAGTCAAAAGAAAGTGTGTGCCTTTCAGACGTGAAAAAAAATGGCGGGTATTTGTAGTTACAGTGTTTACGCAAATAAATTTTTGGTTTTAGTATTATCACGAGTTTCTTATTTATTTGTTACCAGTTAAAGTTGATGGCATAATATGATGGAATAAATAAATAAGAATTATTTAGCCGTCATCATGGGACATGTTAAGAGCATAAATACACGTGATTTAGATCAGAAAAATAATTTCATTTCGAAATTGTCTGTGTTATCGAATAAAGAAATTACGGGTTGCATTTTTAGTTAATTATTAGTTGTAATGAATTACTTGCCCTTTGTCTGTTCCAGCGCTGGGACACAAGTCTTATAATCATAGAACATTATCATTAGATTTTACGAGCATCGGAAGGTATAGTTCCCGGCCCACCTTCGAGCTGTTACAGGTACCTTCGTTCGAGCTAAAGAGCAGCAAACACTATGAGGTAAACACAAAAAGATAATTAAGGCAATCGCACTATTTCCAAAATAATCGCCTGTTAAATACAGGACGAAATTAGTGCGACGAATTGATGGCACATGATTGGTTTACATGGAGTCACGTGTGACTGAAAGGATAAAGCTGGGATTTCACTAACCGAGTATCGCTCGGCCTGCGTCCACTCGTATGACTACTCGGACGCTAGTCGTAGGGTGTTAAAGTGATCCGAGCGCACGCGGACGTCGGCATCTGATCAGAGTGGACTCGGATACGGTTTTATTCTTTCAAGTATACTCGGATCGTATTATGAAAACAAAATGGCGTCAACTAAAAAAAGGTTGCATGAACAGGACAATATGAGGTTTTAAACGTATTTAATTCCTCTTCCACTTGACGAATAAAATTGTTTAAAGCAACTGGTTAGTGACGTTTTAAAATTAATTTTCTGGTTAAAATTTTTCTCTTTATGAGTTTGTATTTCGGCCATTAACATAAATCTGCTGAATTCCTAAACCTCGCACTAGCAGATCAGTTGTCGTCATCTTGTTTGTTCAAGGTGACAAATGCTACTTGAACGATTATGACCTTGTAAGGTGTAAACCGAAACCCGAGTGGACTTCTATACGATCTAGCTCGTACGAGCGCACTCGGTCCGAGAGCTCTCGTAAAGTGAAAACCCGTCTAAAAAAGCTACATCAGGCCAGATTCTGTGAAGAAATTTCGTGTTACATATATATGTCGATCTCGGTGGCCTGACGGTTTGCCTTATGTGCGCTAGATGAGCAAGTCCTAGGTTCGTTTCCCGGAAGGATCTATTTAGGAAACGAGCTTTATTACTAAATTAGCACTGGTCTGGGTAGTGCCCAGATAAATTTACGTTGCTCTGGTGCTATTAGTGTAAAGTGATTTCCCTATAATGAATTAATGATTTGAGAGACACGGATTTAAGACCTGGTAATTAATTGGGTTGAATGTCTGGCACACTATTATTATATTATTATATGCGTAAGAGAGACGAACTAAATTTTGTATTTTCCATAGGTCAAAGACACTTGTGTATTCTGTGTAACTGTAGATACATGATTTTCAGAAAGTAATAAAGTTCCACAAAAATTGTTCACCATGTAAACCTTTCCGAAAACATAATAAGGGCGTATACTCATTGGGCGCTCAACACTCGTGTGCCGCCACGCCGTTCGTCACGATAGAAAGTAGCGTGTCCTCGTAAAATTTTATCGCCTCTAATGGCCGTTCGCTCTGATTTGCGGGCCTCACTGCCCGGTGAACAAACCTCACTAAGTGTCAAAGATTTTGGGAGATATTTAAACGGAACTACGCAGAAGGCAAGCCTTGAGTTCCTTACACATTATTCTAGCGCAGATCTGCCATAAGATTTAGTGCTCCAACAGTTTTTTTTGGCGACGGCACGAACAAGTAATTGAAATAGAGAGATTTAAAATTTTGGTTGCTACAATTTACAGCGCAACTATTTCAACAAATACAAAAATTTTTCTTTAAGTATTCATTTATTTGAATAAATATGATCAAATATGAATGCGTTGACAAATGGACTGATGAGCACGTTACAAGAGACGTTAATATTTACTGAAAGCGGGACAGCTAATGGAAATGAATTGCATAGTGCAACGTCCGAAAAAAACTCCCATGCGGTAAGGTGGAAATAATCATTCATAGAGAATATTTTTGTTACACAAAATACATTGTTCGTAATATTTATAGTCAAAAGATCATTTGTTGAAATGGAGCCAAATTTCCTGCCCGAGCTTTCAACGGAATTTCACAAAAAGCGTCATAAATTGGCAAATAATCCCCCGCATAACGTAACCTTTGTTTGGCCACACGTGCTTTTAATATCTGGCTCGTATCGCGCTGCAACAATGCTCGGATTTAGTCTTTGTGCACCACGCGTTAAGTAAACACTCGTAAAAACTTCCGATTCTTCGCGAAAACTGACAAATATGTGTATTAATAAATTTTATCAAACGATGATCGGACAATAGACGAGCGATTCGGTTGTAGAATCGACAATCGCCGTGTCGAATACGTCATGATACTCGCGCTTTGTTTGCCGTATGAATGCCGTGAGAAGGAAGCTCTTCCGGCTGCTACATGTACCCGGCCGTGCTTCGGGCTATATCTTGCCATCGATATCCTGCATCGCGTTTTTTTCGCGCGATATTGTTCTCGGCGCTCATTCAGAAGAATAGAATTACGAAAACAGTTTTACAAACATACGATCAGGTTGCCTGAGGATAATTTTGTTAAAAAACTTTGTTAAGAATCTTGACACGGTTTATACGCTCATGATATCCGGTCGACATTTTTTTTTAATTTTAAAATTTGTTACAGTTACAAGCAAGAATGACGATAATAATAAATTGTTTATTTGTTAGTACAATATACTGCAATGTTATTTATCAATTTTAGTAGCAACCTTACCTATTTCTGCCGCCAAGCAGTATTTTGAGCATTACTGTATTCCGGGTTTAGAAGGATAAGAGTGCTGGTGAAATTACAGGCACATGGGACTTGTCAAAATATGTCTCAGGGTGTCGGGCGCAGTGACAGTACCCCTCAGATCTTTGTGATTTAAAGCTCTGTATGTCACTGCAACAGTTATGGACAAGCGTGTCGCTTATCATCAGGCGCACGACTTGTTCGTCCCGTCGCTTAGTTATTATAAAATAAAATACAATGATTGATGAATGAACGCAATAAAAGTATTAACTAAACTATGGCATACATAATTGAGAGACGTTGGTGCATAATCTAGGCTCACGTCTGTATTTCGGGTCACCAGGACTGCACCCCTCGAAAAAATTTACTTTATGGGTAATATTCGACAGGAGTGTCGCTCACCACCAGACCCACGACTTCTTCGTACCGTCGATCAGAACAAGTCTGCAGTCTGCGAGCATGTTGTGGATAAACCTACACATTCAATGAAGTTTCACAAATCCCAGGTCCTTGTAAAAGAAGTCCGTTATCTACCCAGGATGTTGCGAGAGGCCATTGAAATTAAAAAAACATCCTAATTTCGACAGGGAAGATGGTTTCTCCGTACCACCAGTTTGGGATCCAGTATTTCCCCTGATGAAAAATCCCAAACAGACATAAGCTGCAGTACTGATTAATATGTTTTAATTTATCCTAATTTTCATTATTACTTAATTAATAATAAATTTAACTTAATAAAAATCCACATAGTTTCAATAAAATAATTTGTAAAACAATGTAGCGCAAATTGGAATGTTTCTTTGTAAAATTAAAAATAAGTTATTTTTTTAATAATAACGCACACACTCAACATAGCCAACTAGGGAAACCCGGTGTCGCGGGTGCCATGGAGACACACATAAACAAACACAAATTACAGCAAACTCACGAGAGAAATAAATGTAGGCCATACAAATATTTCTCCCGACCCGGGTATCGAACCTGGGACCTAGAAACAAAAAACTGGTCCAAAAATTAAGTTGTTGAAGGATTAATTGGAGGTGTCTAAACACTCCTTTAAAAATTGGATTGTCCATTGCTGAAAGTAAGTTTTTCCGGTTTCAATTGGAAACAGATAGGCAAGGTAAGCTTTAAAATCCAAACGTCACCCGCGATAACGGCACGCGTTTGGGTGTTTTGTCATTCAAAAATGAAGAACCCAACAAACAATAGTGCTGGTATTTGGTAAAGAGGGAAAAAAATCCGGGGCATGTGTCGATAGATCGACGAGGCCGTCGGTATGATGCGAGAAAAAAACGGAAACCGCGTCGGAACAATCGAATCGGACTTATAAAATATGTATAGCGTTGGCTTTTGAAACTTGCACTCGTACTATTTTGACCGCGATCGGAATTTTTGATGCAACAAGGGAAAAAAATAAAACGAACACTAACCGGGTAAACGTGCTTTGTTTCGCCTAGATAAAACGCCTGACTCCATAACTGGTGAACTGATCTCTATTTAACTGATAAGTGAGAAGCTCTACTGCTAGTAAATAATTTTATTTAGTAGCAGTAGAGCTTCTTATGAAAGGAGCCCGATTGAAGTGGAGGAAAGAAACTACTGTTATACTACTTTTTAGAACTGTTTATAGCTTTTATAAAAAAGAAAAACCAACCTCATTGAATTACATTTATTTGATTGACGATTTTTTCGCCAGTGCGAAAGAGCTATCGATCTTTTCTTATGAGAGTGAGCGATTCGGCCAATATAATTGAAAGGACAGTATGCGATACGTGCTACTTTGTAAGCGACCACTCCATTTTTAAAATATAAATTAATTAAATAGATTTTAAGACTTTCGTGGTTATTCACTAAACGAATATCACTAATTTCTTTTTATTTTCCCGATATTTCGGAACGGTTGCACGCTCCATGGTCACGGGTTGACTGGACGGCGGCAGATGACAGCTTTAAGAGCAGACATATCTGTCTACCCTCTTGCGCTGTCGATAATAAAAAGAAGTCATGCCGTGGTAAGAAACCTGAAATGAGTGATAATCATTTAATAAATTAATTAATTATAATTATACTATTATTCTATCACTTTTAATGTAAATTAAATTCAATTTAATGTAATTTTTAATTATTTACTTCATTAATAATAATAATAATATTCGGTTAATAAAATTCAATTTAATGGGTATGTAATATAATGTCACAAATAATGTTAAATCTATTTATGGGTGTATACCTAAATAAAGAAGCATTTTATTTATTATTTATTTACTTGTCAATTTGTTTGAAACCGGAAAGTGCGCGAAACCAGTCCGGTTTCGGCATCCCCTAGTTTGTCACCCTTAGAGGTAGAATAATTTCTTCAGATTTAATAGGGACCAATGCTGAGGTACCCCTTTCCAACAAAAAAAGAAAATAGGAAAAGAAACTATTTTTCCGGATTTAAATCGCGTACATTTGTTTTCATTCATTCTTTCAATAAAATAATTTGTAAAATTTAATGTATTATTATCTTAATATATTATTATGTAATTGGAATATTTTCTTTTTAAAATTGAAAATAAGGTATTTAATTAATAACTATAGTGAAAAAATAGGGTGGTTTGCATTAATATTAGACATAACTGGCTGAAGATTGTACCACCTCAGTCAACCGTGACCATGGGACCTGTCAACGGCCCGAAACGTCGGTTTGTTTGAAAAAACAAATATACTCGATTTAAATCCGGAAAAATAGTTTCATTTCCAATGTGTAACAATCGCGAAAACCTATGAACTCGATAAAAAAAGAATAATTTAAATTGGTTCACAAATACCGGAAAAATCGCGTAACATATACACACAAAAAAAAAACTGTCGAATCGTCTTGCGAGCTGTTTTGGTGTAAAAGTGCGAAATATATTTTGCTGATTATACAACTCTTTACATAATTCTACAATAAAAAGAAACCTCGGCGTGCATGATCAGAGAATATTAACACGGATAAAAAAGGAACTAACGTTTGGGTACACGGGAGCTGACAGCAGATATCCATAAGGTGCCATCTTGATGTCTGTGCCGTAACGTATCTCCGTCGAATCGCGCCATTACCATCTGTCATTAATTAATTGGTCATTCCATCTTGCTGCTACTACAAACATTTTTGAAAAAAAGCAAAGTGAAAAGGCGGATAACCGTACCCTGGTTTCAAACTAGGGGATTTCCAGAACTTTTAGTAACAGAGAAACAAAATTAACCTAATACCTGAAATAATTTAGGAAAGTTTTTTACTAAAATTTTTCCTACAGAGAATCGTGCCCCTGATCTCTTCATGCAACGTCTACTGTGCTACACACATAAAAAAATTGTGCAATATTTCTGTTAACATGTATATATCGAGTGTTTGATCGTTGAAAAGTGATTTTATCACATGAAAGTGATAAAAATAATACGAATAATGTGAAAGAAATTGTGAAAATTCATTCATAGAATCTATAAAACTCTTTTCTTGTTTTTTCACAAATGTGGCCTTATTACAATTAAGGGTGTATATATGTTCTTTTAAAATTGACTTGTATTAATGATACATGAAGGTCCTATTTAATGTTTTTATTCAAAATAAAAGGAGTTCTATGAAAATATAGAGGGTATAAACATATATTTTTATTTCGCTATTTATTTACCGAAATATACAAGAGTAAGTATTCAATATCGAATGTGAGCCCATTTAAAAAAAATAAAAATAAATACCTTTCACACTGTAGTATAACAGACGCGCGTGGTTATAAATTATTTTTTAAGTGTCATAAATTAATAACGAGAGGCGTCTGTCGCCGTGGTGTCGAGTCGGTCGCCGGTCAACGGCATTTATATCTCCATTCGAACGTCATTTTTCCCCGTCATCGCTAATTTGCCATTGTTTTGCCCGCTGACGCCACCTTTTTTGCCAAAAACCATAAAATAGATAAGCTTTTTGTGCCTCTGGCACCCTTAATTGATTATAAACTTCGAGTAGATGTTCGGTTAAAAATGAGGTAACCGCGTAAGGAAATAGCAGTGCAATTAATCATTAGCACTATGCCGTGAAGTCATTAATCATTCGGCTTTATTACGTGTGGTTCGACGATAGCAGAGATGGTATATATGGTATGAGATATTTTTTGAATAGGCTGAAATGCAGCCGGGTTTGGAGGCAGTAAATTTGTCTCAGATTTAGTGTAGTCGCGTAGGCCGGTGTCCCCCAGAGCTGACTACTACGCAGCGGCAATATGTTAGGCGTTAGGTGGACGGTCGGCGTCGCCGGCATCAAGGCGGCACCGTACGCCGCCGCTGCATAAAGCACAGTGCAATAAAGAGAATGGATGCCGCCCATCGCCAAGCTCCCGGCCGCCGGCAGGATTACCCGAATCGCCACTATTTATCGCCCCCGAGCCTTGCGACCAGCGCCCAGGTGCCATCAATCTATTTAATGATCGGGTCAGCAATACTCTTAGTCTTTTTGCGTCGCCCGCCCCCGGAGCGCAAAACGAAGCAAAGGCACGAGATGGACGTTTGATGAGGCGCTTTTGTGTCGATCGCTGGCGTTAAAAGGGTTTCCAACGCACTATCAACGTTTAGGCGAAGGTTTTTCTTATTTTTTGGCAATATCGGAGGACCCATATGCATATGACGTCGATATCACGATAGAATATTCCGTCCCAATCTCGTATAAATTGGTTAAAAATGTTAACATTTTAAAGCTTTTCCATTGAAAGATGGTAACTGTTAAGCTACTTGTGAAATAGTTTGTCTAGGGAAGTCCTGCCACCTTACTTATTTCTGCCGCCGAGCACTAATGTCAAGTTTACTGCGTTCCGGGTTTGCAGGATAAGGGTGCTGGTAAAGTTACAAGCCAAAGGAACTTGTTAACTTTGTGTTTCAGAGTGACGGGCGCAGTGTCGATTATCGATTGGCACTAGCCAATCAGATCTTGGCACTGTAACTGCTGTGGACAGGCGTGTCGCTTACCACCAGGCGCACGACCTGTTCGTTCCGTAACTTGATTTTACAAAAAAAAACATAAATCTGTCTTCAAGATTTAACATTTTATATGCACAATTGCTCCTTAAGTTGGCAAGTACTTGTGAGCAATAAAAATCGTATAAATCTTCTAAAGAAAGGGTTTGGAGAGGGTTTCTTGAATTTAGTAGCCGCATTCAGGTGAGAAGAGCCAACGGTCAATGGTAATATACACAGTGAAATAATAGCCAGTGATCTCGGTGACACAATGGTCGTACATCTGCCGGGAGCGTGCGTGGAGCAACGCCTCGAGGATTTGACGGCCACTTACTCCAATCTATGTTTAATGTCTTTTGTGCTTTCGTTTGGTCGTACAGACTGCTTTGGTTAGACGCAGTTGTCTATTCATTTAAGACTGTATTGAGTACTC